ATAAATGAGACCAACATTATCTTATTCATGCATTTACCAATATTCACATGTTCCATAAAGCATAAAGAGGTAGTAAAGTATTACCTCGATTTCCATGCCATACTGATCGACCATAAAAATTCTATTCGAACGCCCTCGATCTTTAATTCAACTTCCAATAATTCCTCAGATACATATCAACATAAATTATATAAAAAACAGAGCTTAATTACGATAAACGGATCGAATCAGGTGATTAATCAGTGAAAACCACCTTATCGGGTTCAAATTTGGTAAAATAAACCCTAAAAACGGATTTAGAACATCAAAAAATGTCAGAATAGATATACCCGGTCAAAGTCAACGGCCGTTCAACGCACGACAACGCCGGTCAAAGTTCTAGTCAACTATGGTCAACGTATGTCAACAGTCAACAGTTTTACACAAATATCACCCTAACAGAAATTAATTACAAATTTAGCACCCCCTACGCGCAGTGGCGGCACGTGAACAATGATACGGTGTCAGAAAATTCACAGAAAAATTTTTAAAAATTATTTTAAGGCATTTTGAGAAACTTACCAAGCTTTGTTCACAATTTTGACTTTCTCACCCCTCCACGCGTCTGCGACGACGGAGAAACGGAGAACACCGGTAGACTCGGAATGATGCAAGGAACACGATGGTGCGGGAGGTGTCAAAAACGGATGGCCGGATAGTCGTGAATCGACGAAAAACCAACGAAAATCGAGTTAAAATTGACGATACTTTGAACTAAAATTAACGACGAACGACGACGATTCACGACGAAAGGTTTGAGGGGTTTTGTTCATCGGTTGATAATGAACACGATGGTGGTTTCGGTTCATCAAACGGACCTCGGACGCTGAGTAGATCGGAGTTGAAAGGACTCCAATCTACTCACCGTTCGGCCTCCGACCGACGAACCAAAACCACCATTGTGTTCGTTGTCAACCGATGAACAAAACCCCTCAAACCTTTCGTCGTGAATCGTCGTTGTTCGTCGTTATTTTCAGTTGGAAGTATCGTCAGTTTTAACTCGATTTCCGTTGTTTTTTCGTCAATTCACGTTGATCTGACCATCCATTTTCGACACCTCCCACACCATCATGTTCCTTGCATCATTCCAAGTCGACCGGTGTCCTCTGTTCACGCGCCGCCATGCGCGTAGGGGTGCTAATTTTATAATTAATTTCTGTTAGGGTGCTATTTGTGTAAAACTCGGGTGTTAGTTTTGTAACTATTTTTAGAAGGTGGGTAAATTTGTAACTAATTTCTGTTAGGGTGATATTTGCATAAAATTGTTGACTGTTGACCGTTGACCGACATTGATCAAAGTTGACCAGAACTTTGACCGGTGTTGACCGGCCGTTGAACGACCGTTGACTTTTTTCGGGTACACCTATCCTGACATTTTTCGACGTCCTGAGTCTGATTCCGCAGTTCATTTTTCAAAATTCGGACCTGAAAGTCTTGAAATTGCCAGTCAAACTCATTGACTTTGATTTTGACTTTGACCGGAAAGTCAAAATTTTCTAGAAGTCATATTTTATGTTTTTCGACGTCCTAAATACGTTTTTGCAGTCTGTTTCACCAAATTCGAACCCGGTAAGTTGGTTTTCACTGATTTATCACCAGATTCGATCTGTTTTTTTCGAATTAAGCTCCATTTTTTTTGTAATTTTTATTGATATGCATCTGAGGAATTATTGGAAGATGATTTCAAGATTAAGGGTGTTCGAATGAAATTTTTATGGTCGATCAGTATGGTACGGAAATTGAGGTAATACTTTACTACCTCTTTATGCTTTATAGAACATGTTGATATTGGTAAATGCATGAATAACATAATATTGGTCTCGTTTTTGTAGTTAATTAATTTCTACACTCGATTCGATTACGGTATAAATTCAGTAACTGATTATGGTTCATATAACTTTTATAAGAAATTGAGGGATTGTTATAATTAAATTACAAGTTCTGTGTTTAGTGATAAGGAATCAGCCTGGATTTATAACTTATAAATTATATCATCAAAGGTTAAATGTTAAAGGTACATGCATGAGAAATTATGAGAATACTCCGGTTTGGTAAAATTATGAAAATACACCTATGTTGTAAAATGACAAGAATTATCCCTGTAAGTTGATTAATAACTCTGAAAAGACTTATTGATCTGATAAAACTACAGATGTGCATAAGAAATGCAAGTTTGCTTAGAAAATTTGGATAACCGGTTTTTAACCCCAAGAGGGTTTGTGCAAGATATTAGAAGTTTGTTAAGGAATCATTTCAAGATCAGAGAATGTTCGGGAAAGCGATTAACTAGAGGATCTCTAAATTATAATTATTTTCGTTAAGAGTTAATATCGAAATTATATGGTTAAGAAATTACAAAAATGCCCTAGTGAGGTAAAAAAATAGTCCAAGTTGACCTTGAATGAGAAAGTATTTTGAGGATTCGTACTTAACTCGATAAATTACGAATTTGTTTGTTAAGATCCTGTCTTTGTGTAGAAAAATTCATGATATTTTGTTTGTAAAATCTGAGAAGGCACTTGGCCCGAAAATATCTGAGTTATGTGTAAATACCTAAAGAATGATTTATCGATGGTGCTCTGTTGTCAGAATTGTTTAAAAGGACTGAAGGAAATGATAAGATTAAATTAAATAATAAGACCGGATAGAAGAAAAAGATTAAAATACCCTAGACCTGTAAAATGACCAAAATACCTCTGTGGTGAAAATGACTCAAGAATATCACCAAGCTCATAAATGATTGGATATCCTCGAGCTCTGAAAAGAATGGAAGGAAACTAAGCACCGGAATGACCAAAATACCCTTATAACCTAAACTAAGTAGAGGTGTTGGATTAATTAAGGAATCCAAATAAACATGGATGTGGTACTGCTCTTAAAAGTTATGGATCACATATTAAGTCGAGCAACCAAAGCTAGTGTTATATCAGTACCTGAAAGACATAGATGTCACTTGAATGCGTGTTCGTATTCACAATTTTGGTTGGATGATAATTTTAGAAGTATGTAGCTCAGCTCAACTCTAGATCGCATTCAGTACTAAGAATTTGATATTCGTTAGACAAATCAACTACGATGACCAAATTGAACTGAACAGAAATACAAAATGTATCTGAAATTCAAAAATGTATGAATTACTCTGGAAAATCTTTGAAGTAATCGAGATAGAATTGATTGCTAAACGAACTGAGTAACCTCAATGACTGAGGATTAAACTGATAATTGGATGGGTTTGGGAACACTGTTGAACTGACATGATGAATTATCTTTATGGGTCATAAAACATGAATCAAGTACGTATGTATTTCCTGATATCGTTGAAACATGGAAATGAAATAAAGACTATTGGAAGATCTATTCAGCGATGATTACGAAGATGATTTATGGATAAGAATTGTTAGTATTAAAGAGTAAATACTCTACAAAGAAATAAATTGACGGGTCGACATGCATTAGTTCTAAGAGTTGTTCAGTTCAAATTGTTCGATAAGTTGATCGATCAACATAGATTGTAAATGTCTTGAATCTTTGTCTCTACATTTTCATATTGAATCACTTCGATCATGTCTGAAAATGCATGTAACGCAGAAGAAAAAGATTATGAATACCCTATTTGGTTCAATTGAGCTGAGATCATATGAATTTAAGTATATTCCTAAATACCCCTGATTGTTTGGGTAATGGAATTACTCGCAGTAAATATGAATCTAGAATTATTTTGTATAAAGGTTCCTGAACGTTTTCCTTATGCACATGGAAACATAGTGGAATTCTAAAGTATAAATCTGAAATGTCTGATTAGATTGGTTAGAAATCGATTCTCTTCAATAAGATATTATTCCTGTAATTCGATCAAATTGCACAGGTTCATATTATCCAAACTGATAACTACAAAATGCCTCTGAAAAGTACTTGGATTCTCTAGTGTATTCCATATATATTAAAAAAATTTGTTTTATTATTTTAACATGTGGTACACTGAAATCTATGGTTATTGTTTTATGGATGTACCGACTTAACGGTGATGGCTTATGGATTTGTATCCCGGTATAAATTGTATCTTGGAGATACAGATTTGTAAAGTACAGCTCTGATCAAGCTGAAAAATATTTATGGACCTAATGTGACTCTTAGGTAGGCTCTACGGCCCTGAGATCATTCTCGGGTAGGCCCTACGGCCCAAATATGTGTTCTTAGGTAAGCCTCATGGCCCCAAACTTTCTTGGGTAGGCTCTCAGGCCCTAAGATATTCCCTTAGGTTAACTCTTTATACGATGGTTTTAAAATACGAGTTTAAAAAGCTCCACTACAGTATGGTTTATGAGATTACTGAACTATCATTTGATTAGTGTACCTATTATGATTTTATCGTACTGATGGAACACACTAGACATCCTAGTCGATTTACTCAAAAGGTGATACTATGAATGCTTCTTATGAACTGAGATATTCATGACTTTTATTCAATGAACTATCAGTGGAACCCAGATTATTTTGAACATCGGTATACATCTGATGCAATAAGGAAATTATATGGCTTTCCATTTATCTGCATGGCATGAAGCATCATCTGGTAGTTCTGTGTTACTGAGCTTTCCGAAGCTCACTCTATTACTAACCCTTGCAGGTTAAAAGAATTGTACCAGTGCAACTATCGATTTCAGTAAGGGAGTTCTTCTGGCGTTGCTTGCAGAGTATGGTACATGTGATTAGGGGCATGTAATTGTATTTTGTTTTATATACGAGTCTGAAAATCTGTTTTATTTCGAATACTGGTAACTTTTATTTTGTACTCATAAATGATTTTATGAGTTTTCAAGTTTTAAGAAAAGTTTTAAATTTTCTGCTATTTTTACGGTGGGTCACTCAGGTAGCCCTAATGTGACACTCCAGATCGGATCCAGCTACCGCATCGGTCTGAAGGGGTTACACTTAGTGGTATCAGAGTTGTTGGGGGGAAGCTGATGCATTCACTGGATAAAGGTTGTTAATGGAGAGCGCTTATTATCCAAGGTCAAGTGCAAACAAGAACCATGACCCCAAAACTCTAGGGAGAGCTTAAAAAGAATCATAATTTTGATCGCCCATCATTAATAAATTAATAATGATGTTGATGTGTCACCATAACATATGTCACGTTATCATTAAAATAATAAAAAATATCACATCCACAGTTCTGTTAACTTTTTAGCTTTAGGTGACCAAAATAAAATCAAAATTTAACGTTAGTGATGATTTTGAAAAAGTAGTTAAGTGACCTAAACGAAACCAAAATAATAGTTAAGTTACTAAATACATAATTTACTCTAATATTTAAGGTTGTTATGCTTCTATCTCTAAAGATGTTGAGAAGACTATTGGGATATTTAATAGGATTTATAAAAATTTTCCCCCGACAAAAACATAAAGAAAAATAATCTAAATTTTTTCTCAATATTTTTGTGTCGTCTTTATCTTTCTCGTTAATTTTTAGATTTAAAGTGAGAATAAGAGTTTGATTGAAAAATATCATAATATATATATAATTTTCATTAAAATTTTAAAAATTGGGAAAATATGTTATAAATATTTTATTTTATTTTATTTAAAAAATTATCAATTCATAGTTGGACAAGTGTCATGTACTAACGAAAAAATACAACATCATCATAGATAATTCTTATTTATTCAGTATATTGTATAAATTACACTTTGTTTTCAGGAGTGATCACTTTGCTCAATTTCAAAATTGATAAGGACTTAAAAAGCGTTCAAACCAAAATATTTAAGCCAAATAACTATTACTTTCAAATTTTAGATAAAAAAATATTCATTTTTTCAAATGTACATGTACAAAATATCTCTTTTTATAGTAGAGGGACTAAAATAAAATTTATGTATAATAATAAGACTAAAATATTCTTATTTATAATACAAGGTTTCAAATGACCTTTTAATAGACTTTAACCCAACTTTTTAACATATTTTTAATTAAAATTTTAATATATATATTCATATTATGGTCTATTTAATTTTGTATCGTGTCATATTATATTCATATCAATATTTTAATGTGTAATATTAGAATTGATTATATTGTATCGAAATTACAATTCTTAACATTGTGATCATATTATATTAAACAAGTAGTAACTATTTTTCTAGAATTTTAATGTTTAATATTAAAATACTGGTTTTTCTAGAGTTTTGTCCTAGTTTTTTTATTAGTCTTTTTTCTTCTTCATCTTTTTAATTGGTGGTGACATCAGTCTTGGTGTTAATCGTCGACTATCGATATTCATTGCTTTTCTTTTATTTTATTGTAGCGTATCTTTGTTTTTTCTTTTTTTCCCTTATTTTTTAATTTTAATAACTTTACCTTTATGGCACGCTCTCCTCTGTCTCCTCTGTCCTTTATGTTTAGTTTATGTTTATAGTTATAAACCTTCATTCTAATTTAATTTTTTTATTTTTAATAAAACTTAACTAGCAAGTTCTATTAAAAATAATAATAAAATTGGGTTATTTTGATCATGCTAGACCATGATTCAAGTAAGCCCATTTGGGATTAAGATTGGACCATGTGTCTTTGTTTCTTTTTTGAGTTACCCACTCATGGGCTTGCCTTCAAGTTTTAGCTTTGGAGTTGAATCTGAAATACCAAGAATGAAGTAAACTAGCAATTTGAAACATAGCTATAATTATAAGAAAATAAAAATAATTAGAATATAACTCTGTCATAATGCACTTACGACACATCAACATTTATATAAAATATATAAAACTTTACACACAATTGCATAAAAGCAACATTGTTAAACTATCATAAAATTTAAGTACAACACAAATCAGTTATAAATACAAATAAAAAGATATTAAATAGTATTTAAAATGTGTAAATTACGTATTAATACCTAAATTATCAATTTTGTTCCATTTTAATATTTAAACTTTCAATCTTTTATAATCATACCTAAAGTTTACTTTTTGTTTCATTTTAATACCAGTCGTTAAAAACTTAACGTGTTTAATACCTAGACTATCAGTTTTGATTTATTTAGTATCTAAATTTTCAAAAAAAAAATCAAAACTTAAGTATGATTTAGGTACTAAATATGTTTTGGTACTAAAACTTTCATTTTTTTTCAAAACTTAATAGCGAGGTAATACTAAAAGGAAATAAAAATTAAAATTTAGGTATGATTTTAAAAAAAATTAAAATTTTAAATATTAAAACGGATTAAAACTGATAATTTATATACTAAATGATTAATTTACCCTTAATTACTACAAAATTTTTAAAATTTTTATTCTTTTAGGCACTTACTTTTGACACCTCAGTGCAAAAAGGGCTCTGACTGATTGACTAACTGACCCCATTAGCAATTAAACCCTCACTTCATGTTTACTTTAATGCCTCACACAAAGTTGAATGGAAATGACAGCTTTCTTCCCCCACTTTAATGTTGAGGACTTTAGCTTTCTTTTCAAATTTAAACACCCCTACAAAAAAAAAAGCATAACTCTTCAATAATCCTATATGGAATAAATAAATAAATTCAATTGAAGATCAGTAACAACCCTTTTTTATTTATTTATTGCAAGGAATGAGATTTGAAGTTTAAAATTATTGATATAAAGATTTCAATGAAGCGCAAATTAAGTTATATAAGTGATTAAAGTGATAGTTATTATTCTTAAAAGTTTTAAATTCGAGTTCTAAAGACTGTAAGGGTAATAAGTTTTTACTGTCAAAATTGTTAAGAATATTTAAAACAGATATTACTTTATAATCACCATAAATTAATAAAAAATAATAATAAAGATTTTAATGAAAAAATTAATATTTTTATTAAATTGCGGGGGGGGAGATGTTTTCCAAAATAATTTTAAACAGGTTCACGCATACTAGAATTATGGGTAAAATATATGGGTAGTCATTCAGCTTTTAGGGTACTTTCACTTTGGCTGCGAACTTTTAAAATTTACATTACAAATCGTTAAATTATTAATTCCCTTTCTCTACGATCGTAGTTATTTCGTTTAAGAAATATTGATATAACATTTTAAAGTTTTCTTCTCACAAAAAAAAAAGAACTCCAAAGTTATAAATTTATAGCTTTTGTGAAAGGTTAAATTTTGGATGAACGAAATGGTGGTCAATCCCAATGGTTGAAAAGATTTGTTTGGTCATAATATTAAGATGGTTTAGTTTAAGATGACACGATGATTAATAGTGGGAGATTGAAAAAAATAGCTTTTTATTTTATATTAGAATTTGACGAGATTACAAGGTTTTCTAATGAGTTTAAACTGAAGAAAAAAAAGAAAATGAGAAATTTAACAGGCACTTTCTGCAGAGTAACCATCAAATGGTAGTACAAGCAATGACGAAATGCGGCAATAATCTAATAAAAATTAAAACTTTTTTGATATGTCATTGTGAACCACCAAATCAACTTAAAATCATAATATATTAATTATCAAATAATTAGGGTTTTTGAGGGAGAATACTTTGACATGTCATGCCAATATTTATTAACTGTTGTTAACGACAATGGCTACAATGAAAGTGGATTAAATTTTTTTATAACTACAATGCAAGTATTAAAAGTTTAGTGACCAAAGTAAAAGTGTCTTAAAATTTTAGTCATGTAAGAAAGGAGCCATAGATGGCAAGAAATGAAGAACGATTGGTGTGCGTGAAGAAGAGATGAGCATCAGTGATTGTGTTTTACTAAAATGTGAAAATGAATTACACAAAATGCTTGAGTCTTTAACCCATTACAAACAGTACTTATATAGTACCACTAAACCAAGTTTAACAACTTGATCTAACAAACTAACCAACCTTTAACAAACTCAGTTAATTTTGACTAACCCAATACCAACTAATTACATTTTATTATATTATATTTCTAACATTCTTTCTGCTTCTTCTTCTTGATCTTCTTGGAAGAAAAAAAAGGCATCTAAAAGAAAATAATGTTTCTTCTTCTTTTTCCTTTATTTACCTTACTTCTTCGCCCTTCTTGAAATTCACTTTGTGATTTGAGAGTTGATCAAACAATGTTGCAAGCGTAGTGAGTTAGATCTGTGAGCTAGAATTCATGTACATTGAACAATTTTTTTCGTTGAAAGAAGCTTTCTTCATCTTCTCTTTTCTTCAAGAGTTTTTTCCCTCGCTCTTTATCTTTACTGACATTCTTCTTCACTTATTCGGTCAATCTTTTTATTGGAAGCAAGGCTGTTAAGATTCGAGCTCCCGAGTGCAATCTGAAGTCTCTCTTGGACAAGAAAACACCCTATTTTATCCGGTGAAAGAGAGCAAGGCTGTTAAGATTTTAAACCCTCCCCAAAAATTTTATTCTATGGTAACTTAGTTGTTAATCTTTCAAGTTCCATGTCAAACTTTGGAGAAAAAATAACAATCAATGTAGAAACTAAAATGTCAATAGCTGAGCAAAGCAACATCTTACCAATGTCCATTATTCAACATCAACTTACTAGTTTCCAACCAGCAATGCAACACATAACAAAACTTATCCTCAACGACATCAATGAATTGGACTCACAACAATATCACTGAAGCCTTTAGTCGAACACATTAGAGGCATGCACACAAAAAAACTGCAATTTCCTAATCACTTAAAGAATCAAACACTAGAGGATCCAATCTACCAAAAAATCAAGAATCTCATCGACCATGGAAGTTATGGCAAAGAAAGGTGAAACTGCCGAAGAACATCTGACGACAAATTAAACCTTTTAACACCACTTTCTCAACATGCATGATTATTCAATAAGCTCAATTGAATCAGAGAAGCGCATAACAACCAGAAATCAAAGTGACAAATAACAAGTGGGAAAATATAACAACACCAACTATTGGCAAACAATTGATGAAACCACACTATCAAGAATGAAAATCAGATATTAATCAAGCCATAAAACTAAGAACACATCACCAGTCACACTCATCAAAAATTCCGATTGTCAAACTGATTCAAATTCGAAACTGCCGATAGAAAATCGATATCAAGGAAGAAGAAAGTAGCTCGTTGATATAGGAGTGACGCTTAATGATC